TGGTGGGGCAGCGGAGGGAGCGACAGCACGTCCGTCCTCCCGCTCACTCTCATCCCCTGACGGTTCCGACAGCAAGTGCAAGCTAGCAGCTGCGTCGCATAGCCCCTCCTCCGCGTGTAAATCTCGTTGCGAGAGATCGAGCACTTTGGCTACAGCATTCTGCGAAAGCTCAACTCCCGATGCATCGGAGTCCGAGCCTACTACCTGCTCGACGGTATTCTGCAAAAGCAGAACAGAAGTGTCTATCTGCGAGGGACGAATGGTGGCGTCGTCAGTGCCACCTTCGCCGTGTCCGTCATGCTCAGCAGCGTCGTCGGTGTCACCGTGACCGTCACGCTTATCAGCATCGTCTGCTCCGGCCTCGACGGAAACGTCTTCACCGTCAACAAGTAAGCTCGTCTTGAATGCAAATTCCACAACAGCCCGTTCACCAACCAGCACGTCGTCTATTGGACTCGCATAGGTCCACTCGGTCTGGATACCCGTCGGCCGCTTCGATGTCCACCTCGCCGCCTTCAGCTGTCGCCATAGGTGTCCAAAGTCGATGTCATGTGCTGCATCGGCTGGGGCGGCGGGGGTGGTGGCTTTTTCGTGGCGACTCGCTCGCATCTTGTCCGGCTGGCAAATTCGCTAATGAGTGGCTTGCCAGGCAGTGCCCAGACCAAGTCTCCCCATCCTGGTTTCTTTCCCAACGGGAATCCTTGTCCTGGTTTTGTGATCATCATGCAACAACACCTTGCAGCTTATATGTTTTGGTTGCACTTGATTAAAGTATGGAAAAAAGTCTCCAAGCCATTTTTCAAGATAAATCCCTCGATGTCGTAACTTACGACATCAAAAAAAAGCTACGGCGTATCTTACGACGTTAATAAGGAAGGTGTTAACCTTTATTCATTCTTCAAGGCCCTCCTTACATTGATCTTTGATCTTCTCCTTAAACAAATTTAGTTAAACCCAAACAAAACTGAACGATAAGGCACTTGGACATAGCTTCCAGTCGTGTATAGCATGACTCCGCATTTTCCTGCCTAAATATCTTGATGACCGACTCGATGTACGCTTGTTTGGCTAGTTTTGCATTCCATGTCGAAGTCGATATGGATTCTGAGAATGAAGCGTGCTCGTCCTAGGTTCTTGATTCTAACTTCTCCGCAATTCCAGCCTTTACCGAAGCGATGATGGCCTCATCCTTAGCCGCGACCAGTATATCATCGACGTATAAACAAACTATTCACTCATCGTCACCATCTCCTCTCGTGTATAGACACGGATCAGCAGTTGCAACCTTCAACCCTATGTCCTTGATATGGCTGTCGATGATATCGTTCCAGACACGGGATGCTTGCTTAAGTCTGTAGAGGCTCAGCAGTAAAAATACATACCACGTCGGCTTCGCCTTCAGCCTCGGCCAAAGTCAACAGCTCGTGGAGACCATCCGGTAGCTCCACGTAGCTCTCCTCATTGGGTTTACCAAACTGAAAAGCCGTATCGACATCATGCTACTCGATCTTAAATCCATCAGTAGCGTACTTCGCCAACTTGGCACGGATTGAATTCAGGTAAACGACTGGTGCGCACATCTTTTATTAGTCCATTCCATGCTTTAATGAAAAACCTTTCGCTACGAGCCGGACCTTGAAACGGATAACCTGTCCC